CTCTCTCCCTCTCCATTCCACCATGGGACGCCTTCTGCAGTGTTATGACATGGTGAGAAGACCTCACCAGATGTCAGTACCTTGATATTGGACTTCCCAGTCTCCAGAACTGTGATCCAACAAGTTTCTATTCATTTTAAATTACCCAGTCTCTGGCATTCTGTTACAGCAGTACAAAACAGACTAAGACACCTTGCAAGATCTAGAATTGGTCCTGGAATCACTCATTCTTTGACTTGAAATTTGAATCCCTGATTATTGTTTCCTGTAAAGTTTAACTCCTGAATGTGGTTTGTGTGATGAAGTGAATTTGAGAGAGAGAGAGAGAGAGAGAGAGAGAGAGAGAGAGAATATGAATGAATATGAATGTGGGGGCAAAAAAAGAGAGGGCACGGAAGCAAATAAGCCAAAATGATCATGACAGCTAATGGTTAAGTGCCTTCTGAGATTTCCTTCTCTAAGGCTTACATGCTAATAATCAGAGCAATAACCCAAAGAACTGTCCTTCTCTTCATTTTTACAGGTGAGGAAGCTGAGCCTAAGAGAGACTAAGTTGTTGGGTGGCACAAATAGGACAAGGAGCCAATGAACCATAGTTTAACGAGGCCACACCTGTAAGAACTTCACTCTCTATGTGCCTAGACTCTGGAGGTGAGAGGTGAAGAGCCTAATCTGGAGAGCTAGGCACCATCCTGCCCAAGTCTTTCCCAGTGCAAGCGGGGAAACTAAGGCCTAGATCCAAAGACAGACACTCTCTAAATTGGTTCTGTGGTCATGTACATTATCTTTCAGAAAGATATGTAATTGCATGATAAATGATATTATGGACTGCAATATTTCTATTTGCCCTGCTAATAAATCATGAGGACATTGAAATGTCCCGGGTTCTGTGACCAGACCTAGAGTCTTTTCTTTTGCGTGGAAGGCAGAAGTAAGAACACTGACCTTGCTGAAAGAAAACATTTTGGCATTTTCAGGTTCCCCTGGATGGGGTTCTGAAGATCAACTGAATCAGGGCCAAATTTGGCCTAGATGTCACTGTATGCCTGAAAAATGACAGGGAGAGAGAGAGAGTGAATGAACGAATGAATGAAGGGGCAAAGAAAGAGAGGGCGAGGAAGCAAATAAGTCCCAGTCATCTACAACTGAGAAAACCTGTTAATGTTGTAATATCTGAGATTGATTTGTTCGGAGGATCCTCAGTGTTTCCAGGGGCCACAGCAACAATGAGGCCTGTGTTAGTCATGCAATCATGGGATCAGGGCTGCCTGAGGCAGGGGCTGAGGTTATGGATGAGGCCACCCTCAAAAGGACTAGTTGTTTTTATTTCAGGAGCAGGGAACAGTTAAAAACTTACATTTATTCAGTTGTGGAACTGGGTTGCCTTTATATCCTACTTGACATTACCAAGAATGATTACTGAGCTTGACAAGGAAAACTCTTCTGTCAAAAACTTAAGTGGAGAGAGAAAACAGGATTACATTTTATGGCTTGACTGTTTCCATTCAAAGGCTGAAAAGTATTGCATATGCTAAACAAGGTCAGGTTTTCCCTATTTCTTTCTTATGAAGAATCTTAGCAACTCCAAAGAATAACCATGTATTTATTCATCTAACATTGATACAGCCTAAAGCTGGAAGAATTGACTTTAGTAACTGATTTGCAGTCACCCACCTCTGGTGACAGATTCTGTTGCAACTAACGTATTCTGAGTCTGACATTTTACATTCTGAAAATATGCCAGTCTTGCCTCTTAGGCTTCATTGTTTCAGGATTGTTCCCTGTTGTTAAGTCTCCAAGTCACTGTCCTTCACTTGTTTTAGGAACATTCTGTACTTTATCCTGGGAGAAATCACGGGGGTAGTCACGCCTTCTTTCCTGCTCACCATCTCTTGTCTTCCTAAATAAAAGATAAAGCTTGGGATCTTGTGATGCCATTTTATATTGCTCAAATTTATATATTCTTAAGTAGACACTGATTATCCTACAGAAAAATGACCTTGGACTTTGAAAATAGGCCAACCTATATTTGGGGAAGGATATTTAACCTCTCTGAGAATTTCTCACCTCTAAAGCAGAAATAATTCCCATCTTATGGGACTGTTGTGAAGCATGATGGTATTAGTGCACACTACCTAGGGCATACTAGATGCCCAATAAATGGTAGCCACCATTATTATCAATTTTCTAAAAGGTTCATTTACAATGAAGATGTTTTCTATAATAATAAGTATAACAGGATTGAAGAGCAGGTATCAATTGTATGTCAAACTTTAGCAGAAACTTCCTTGGGCTGTGGACAAACATTTCAGGCTACAGCCACCCTACTGGGGTGTTCAGGAAAGGCCTCACTAATTTAAAAGTGGTAACACTGTGGGGAGGAAAACGGAAGTAAAGATCTTGAAATAAGGAGTTGATTTTCCAACTGTCTCAGCTCACTGGTTCAACATGCTCCAAACTAAAGTTAAATCAGGATGTCCTGATTTACACATGATAATCATGTTGCAATATCTGAGATTGATTTTTTCAGAGGATCCTCAGAGTTTCCAGGGGCCACACATTCCCAATCCTCCCCTCACTCTATTACAACTGAAGCCACAAACTCCAGACTGGGATACCCAAACTGAACTGCTCCACATCATAACTTTGGCACTGTCTAAATCAGCAGCTCAAAAAACTTCATGTCCCCTTACATTTCTGACTTATAGAAAGATATAATGAGTTTTTTAAGTGAACTGTTAAACTAATATGACATTCCTACCTCACTACCACAGTCATGATTTTTTTAAAGGCCTACAAAGGTTTAAGCTTATCAATCCACTTAGACAAACTATATCCAAGACCCTCTATTGCCCATTTTAAGTCAATTGCATGTGCCCAAGACTAAATCCAGCTTAATAGCCATAGAGAACTAAAAAGAGATCTAGAAATTGGGCATGCAACCTTGATCTGATCCTTACACACTATATGTCTGAACTGAAATATCACACCATGCAAGCAAATAAATATGTATAATTAAGTATTACACTTAAAAATATGTTTAAAAAGAGAAAGGTTGGGTATACAATACATAAGTTTGGACAAAAACTAAAAGTCATGAGAGGGGAAATGAAAATGATTATAATGAAAGGAGAATATATGATTTCAAAGACAAAATCAGTGTCCCAAAACATTACACAGGCTGGAATAAAAGGCTAGCTCTAAGAAGGCCTTTAACAAGTGTTAGTGTAAAGTCCTACACTTAGATACAAAAAAATCAGCTGCTTAAGTACACAAGTCAGACATCTTAACAAGAACAAGTAGAATAGATTTAGGGCTTTTATTGACCACAAGTTCAGAAGAACTGAACAGTGTGTTAGAGTTGCCCACAGGCTATAGTAATTTTAGTTTCTACTTCCAAAACAAGGCAGGCTACTAATCCCGTGCAACATGCAAATGAACCCCAAACTGAAACACAATATTCAGAACTTGGATGAGCTGCAGCTACAGGATTCCCTCAGAGAATGAAGGCAAAGTTCTTTCCAACCTTGTAATTCTAACCTTTCAATCCCCATGGGTGATAAAAGGTTCATAACCCAGAATATATGGATTCTATACAGTATCTATGCATGGGCTTCAAGAGGCCAGCAAACCATCTAAATGTAAAATACTCTGCTCCCTAAGAAATAATAATTCAAGGAATTTAGAAACCAATTCCCTGGGCCAGTGAGTCTCAAAGGAGGTAGTGCCCACCCCAAGGAGGCACTGCACTAGGACCCAAAGAATTTTCCCAGGCACTCAGAACATTGTGAGATGATCCCTCCAATATTCGTGTAAGTGAAAAAGGTTTCAATGATTATCTCTAGTTTCATTTGATGTAATTTTAATATACACTAAATTTTTCAGGAATATAACTACTATGCACACTGTTGCATCTGGAACTTTACCAAAAGTTGCTCACCATTGTGGAAAATCATGTGTTTTTGTTGTTGTTGTTATTTGCTGTGTTGGGAACAGAACTCAGGGCTTCTAGCATAGTAGGAAAGTGCTTTGCCATTGAGTTACCTCTCCAGCCAGAAAATCATGTTATTGACAACAACCCTACACAGGTCCTGGGTTTTGAGTTCCCCCAGAAACACCTCTGGCAGAATGAAAGCATAACTGCCACATCTGCATAATTCTTCCTATCCGGGTAAATATACTTACTTAGCCAAAAAGTCAGTTATAAAGAAAGAGAGTCAACACAAATCAACTGAATAGTTGTCTTTTAAATTAAAATTTTTATAAGGTGCTGCCAGCATTTGGCTGTTCTATAGTTATCATAATGGAGAATGTATCCATTAAAATATATTTCAGTTTTATATTATTTCTTATTTTTTCCTTTACAGTTAGATCATCATGTTTTGCCTGCTTGCCTGCCTGCCTGCCTCTCTCTCTCTCCCTCTCTTTTTTTTTTTTAGAGAGAGAGAAAATTTTTTTAATATTAATTTTTTTTTATTTTGGTGGACACAACATCTTTATTTTATTTTTATGTGGTGCTGAGGATCGAACCCAGCGCCGGTTCATGCCAGGCTAGCGTGCTACCCTTTAAGCCACATCCCCAGCCCCCTCTCTTTTATCTTTCGATTCTTTTCTGTTTTTTAAAAAGTGTGTGTTTTGGTTAGGACATATTATCCAAGATTTCTGATTCAGAGGAGAAGTATTACAGTATGCTTACTATGAAAAGAGTGTTGTTGGCAATGAACACTGTTGAGTGTCACCATTCAGGACAGACATGTCCTGGAGTTTAAAGTTTTTAAAATCTCTTGACAAGTGTTTCACACTACTGCACTCTCACAAGAAGACCCTCCACTGGTGTATGGAGAGTGATCTGAGAGCTTCAGAAACACGTGTGAAAAAGAAAACAAAAACAACCCAATAGGCAACAACAACAACACAAAAACAAAAACAAAAAACCACCAAGCCCCACCCCCCCCTCACAAAAAAAAAAAAAAAAAGAAGAAGAAGAAGAAGGAATCTAGTGTCCTCTCCTGGGACGAGTCCTTTTGCGGAATCCCACCGAGGCAGCGTCCCCTCCACCCCCTGCACCCCGGGCCCAGCTGTCTCTGGATGATGTCATCGACTGGATGCACACAGTAGGTTTGGCTCTACCCCTGCTGCAGTTAGAAGGTCCCCTTGACCCCAAACCCAGCCGCAGGACGCCCTCCTCAGCCCTCTCGGTGCAGCCTTGACTCCCACGATCAGGGCCACAGTGGCCCCTGACTTTCTCTTATTAATGTTTTTTTTTTTTTAATTGTAAATCATTACTCAGCTCAGCTCAGTCACCAGGCAAACTGTGTTTAATAAATTAGCTTAATCTATTCCGCAAGTGGTTTGTGAGTGCGGTGTTTCCTCTAGTTAAGAAAAACATTTATATTCCCCCTCGGTGCCCCGCGCGCCTGGGCTCCCGCTGCAGCCACCCGGGAGCAGGCGCTCGGGGAGGACCGGGCGCCGGTGGCCCTCTGCCCGCCGTCCACGGGAACCCCACTCCGGGCGGCCGGGAGGGCAGCTGGTGGCCGTGTGGCCTCTTTGTCCCCGATGGCCCGCTGGCGGCAGCCGGAGGCGCGGGGAGCCACTCGGCTTGCTGGAGGCCCAGCCCGTGCTCCGCCCTCAGCCCGCGCACATTCCGCTCTTCCAAAGGGGCCTCTTTAACTGCTCCCCATGAAATAATAATTCATTATGTCACCAGGAGGGAAGAAAGGGAGTGTAAGTGTCTTGATGGGATTAGAGGAAACCCCCGCAGAGATGATTTAGGGGCCGTGATAATTCATTTAATAGGGGCCTGGGGCAAATTGCTAGACAGGGAAATGGAACTGGAAGCGGCTAGAAAGGGCGCCCGACCAGGCTGTGTGGGAGAGCTGGCTTCATTAGCAATATTTAAGAGATTTCATTTAAGAATGAGTCATAAAATGCAGTACTATTTTATCCACCTGGTTTGGTGGCCTTTAGCTTTCCTCTGCATGAATATTAAATTTGAAATGGCACTACAGCAACACATTTTGGAAAGTGTTCTTTGGGCTGTTATTTGTATGGTTGGTTTAGTTTCTCGTTTGTTAACCTTTTAAAATGAATATCATTGAAAATGGATAACTGTACAACCAGAACTCAAAAAAAGATTAGGGGGAATATAATGCTTTAGAATAGGCTGTTACTAAACTGGGTAAAGGATTTAAGTTTTTATTGATCAAAACACAAAAGGCATAGAGAGTGAGTTAGTAAATGGCAAATTACTTAGACAATTCCCAATTTTCATGCAGATTTTGTGAAGCTGCCCCCATTCAAAGCCACCAACCGCAGCCTGGAGGAGCCCACAAAGCAGTGAACACAGATGGGACCTGCCCACCACACACTGAAGAGTGAATGCTCTTCAGGAAAATACTTCCAAGGAGTGTGTTCTTGGACAGAATATTCCATTTTGTTACTGAGAAACAGACAATTTCTAGTTTGATGGTAAAATTATTTCCTTCAAATATATATATATTTACATTTCAGGAAGGTGCTTGGAGTTTTATGAACTCAAGAAGTTTACCTTCAGAAACAGTAATTATTCCCATTACAACTAAAATGGGGAAAAAAGAAAAAAAAAGTCTTTTGGGTGTCCTCCCTCTCTAGTGTCAATGGCAACTTCTTTCCCATACATAATCTGTCACTGATTTGAAAAGTCCTAGCCAGGAAACACTTCAGCAAGAAAGGACACAACCTTCACAGCATTGTGTCCCACACATTTGCTTGGCCTACGGCTCCTATATTTGAAAATAAAATATTAACTCTGATTCCCCCTTCTTCCAGATATGCTGCATTTTTTTTCCTTTTTTTTTTTTTTTAAATCACAGCTGCACTCTGTTATTTTAACAAAACAACTGGCAGGTCTCTATTCACAGAGCTGCTTTAGCCACATAGGGTACATAAGATGCATAATTAATATGTTCTTTAAAAGACTTTCTTAATCAAAAAGGACACTAACTATATGTAAAATTATTCACTTACAGATATTAGTTTTGTGCAATTTTCCACAATGACAGTAAGGTTGGTAGCTAAATATATTTTTTCTATATATAACAAAACTTCATAAATGTCTTTTGTAAGGCATGCATTGTGAGAGCAGTTTTCATATTTATGTTCCTACTAACTCCTAGTTCCACCAACTCCTACTTGAGATGTTATACACAGAGTTGTGAACTACTCTGAGATATAGTAAGAAGATCTATTTCAAATGAACTAAAGGTTACAAATGTGCCATATAGTCAGTCTCTGTACAAAAGCAGGCATTACTTAAGGCTGACTAGTTCCCTTCAGGACCTCTCTCCAATCCCCAGTACTTAGACTTTCTTAGGACTGCCCTTTTGGGAACAGCAGTCAGCTTTGGTCATTAGCAGCCATGGTCAGTGCTGGATCACCTTCTGATGAGGCAGCTCCTTTTCCATGTAAAAACTTTCATTCTTTCCTTCCTCCTGTGAAAAGGTTTACTAAAGCTGACCAAGGGAACCCAAAGAAAGATACCTTCTGCGATGACCACTTTTGCTTTGCAGAAATGGAATTTTGTTGCCCAAAGCAAAGAAGATCTGTAAAATGCCACCAAGAATGATTAAAGTCATACTCTAACAGAAAATAGAAGATTAAATGGCAACCCCCAACACTTGGCCTTGGATTTAAATGTGAATGGGACTGTGTCTACTCTGCCTTTTGCTTTCCTTCCTTTATGTGATTTCCCAATATTACTACAGTCAAAGCATGTAAACCCATACTGAGGAATATTGAAGCAACTGACAGTTTAACCTGCAGCATGGATTTAAACAGTTACAACAAAGCTGTCCCATAGCTGGTGCTGGGAACCCAGCATATGTAGGTTGCCGGGAACAAGAGGGAGAAGCCATAAAGGCAGGGACTATCCTTCGGGGAGCCAGACCTCTGCACACAGCATCAGCAGATGCAACCCACAACCTGGCCAACACAGGGGACAACAGTACATATAACATTGTGCATAGCACCAAATATCTTAGAGGACTGAGGAACTAGGGACAAAACACATAAAGCCAACAAAGTGGAAAGTTGGGTGGGCAAGAGAGTATAAATACTTTTAAATTTCCATTTTTCTAGTGATAAATTTCAAGTTTTTCTAATTGTACATAAATTAGAAGAAAACATATATATATAAGTTATATATATATATGTAAAGAGATGCATAGGCAATTAACCAAGTTATTTTCTCTTTTTTTCAATTAATATTTGAAATACTGAATACTCTTTCTGAAGGCCACATAATTTTAAAAAAGAAAAAAAAAAACTTTATGTGATCAACCAGAACTATTCACAGACAGCATATAAACAGTCCTCTGAAACACTTTTTTGAATGTTATTACAAATCACAGGAATCTGCTTGGGAACTCTGAAATCACCTTGTTTCTACAAGGTGGACAAAATACATCAAATCTCATCAAAATAAGTTTACACTACAATGTACTCAGTTTTGTGGAAAGTTGTTTGGCAATATGTAGCAAAACCCTTAAAAATGGTGACTCTATTTAGGTATTTCCATTTCTGGGACTTGCTCCTGGGAAGATCATGGAATGTAAACAAAGCCTATGTAAAAAGATGTTTCTCTTTCATATTTATAATAGAAAAAAACAAGAAGCCACAAAATATCCAATTAATAGAATATAGTGAAGTAAGTTATAGCATCATACAATGGAATTTAATCAATCTATATACCATTTTTTGCTACAGGAGAATATGAAATGTGGAAAACAATATGGAGGAAAAAAGTGGTAGTATGATTACCTCTCAGTGGTAGATTATTGTTTTTTCCCCCTATTTTATAAGTTTTTTGTAATGAGGATGTATTATTTTTATAACCAGTAAAACAGATGTATTTATATATACACATTTTTATACTATATATTGATTTTATACACACCCAATTAATTAATTTCTTCAATGCTGACAGGAAAACTAGGAATCTCAGAGTCAAAATAAAACCCAAATGGTTAAATAATGTTTCCTTTAAATATCCTTATAAAAAATTAGCATACATTTCTTTATTCATGCCAAACATCGAATATCTACATATTTTCTCTCTAGCCAATAAGTAAATTCCATATTTTGCTATCAGTGTGATTTTCTCTTTTGAACATATATAGCTTGAAAATGTTCCATGTTTTGGCTAGAAAAATCAAGCTGTCAGGTGAGAGGTCCATATTTCATCATGATTGTCTGCAGAACACACTTGGCACTGAGATACACATATTTGTTTTTACCGACCTGGCCATACACAAATGGTAGTGCATGGTAAATTTGCAAAGACAGTCCTGTTCTCAGGCCATTGCGTTATCTGCAAAAAATCTGTTTTCAGCAGCAGATTATCCATAAATTTGACCCCTTGGCTCTCTTTTTTTTTCCTTTTAAACTAGGTCAAGTGGGTGTCCCTATAGCACCATCAGTATATTCAATAAAAATCAAGTATATCTTGTGTTTGAAACATACATTATAAATAGATGTATAGATGGAGCAGATATTGAGAAAAGAAATGGTAAAGATTATGAATATTAAGATTTATATTAATCTATAAGCCTATTAAAGTACAGTAAAACCTGTCCTTCAGACCACCTTTTTAAAGATATCACCTCCCTGATGGGACCACTAAATTTCGGGCCAAATTATTTTCCCATAAAGAACAATGAAAAGAAAATGATTATATTAAGACTACTTCTACTATGGTTTCTTTTCATTGTTCCGCCAAAAATGATTCCAAACAGTAAAATAACATTGATTTTGACCTTGTTAATGAACCTGAAGAACTTCATGGAATACTCAAACACCGATTTCCATTTTTAACAGGAAAAAAAGAAAAGTGGACCCCTCTGCCTCACATTTTCAAAAACACCAGCAGCAGGTAGGGATAATTTCATTGGTATTCGGCAGATGTAGCTTATCTTGATATCGCTAATGTTCCGTAAGGTTTGTCATGTGGATTTTTCTTTGTGCCAAAAGCTGGAGATGATTGTGTGATTTGTAAAATATTGAAGAAGCCTTCAAACCGAGAGGCTTATTGTATTTCTTTTTGGTTACAGAGATTCTCACATACAATATTACTGAAATGATTTTTCAGTTTTCCAAAATGCCACTCTCTCCAAGGGAACAACTTTCTCTCCTTTGGCCCTGCAAGGGCTCCCTGTGGCTTTGACTGGCTTTTCTTCCAAACAAAACTGCCATGTGATCCATACTCCCCTGCACCCCCTCTAGGTGGGCCCTGGTTCTCTTAATCTGGTTCTTATTCAGCTCATTCATGCCAGTCAGAAACACCAGAGGCCCTACCTACCCTTAAGGTTGCATTTCTCTGAACAGTTAAGTTTCTAAGTCTCTAGAATTGCCTCCTTTGCAGTTTCCCAAGAATACGACATGCTGGTGTTTTCAGATCTCTTCTAATGCAGTCTGTTTAACAGCGGAACCCAATTGTCCATTGTGTCACAGAGATGTCCATTTGATGTCTGTCCTCGGCTGAAATTGAATTTTCCCCCCAATGGATACAAGGAAGGATAAGTCATGTGTAGATATCCTGTAAGTTACTCCTATTGCACAAGGAACACAGCTCAAAATTCACCAATAAAAGTTAACAGGGGAAACAATTGCTAGCTACTCAAACCGTTTGAGGAACTGTCACTAGACTCCCTACTCTTTCAAACTCTATCCTCTGAGTTCCTGTGCCCACCTTTGAGCCACTGCTGCTCCCAACATGGCAGTGTGGCTCTGAACTCAGTTGCTAGTCATCACCATCCAGGCTTGCCCCTGTTCTTCTTCTTCTTCTTTTTTTTTTAATATTTATTTTTTAGCTGTAGTTGGACACAATATTTTTCTTTCTTTCTTTCTTTCTTTAATTATTTTCATGTGGTGCTGAGGATCGAATCCAGGGCCTCGCCCATGCTAGGCAAGCACTCTATCACTGAGCCACAACCCAGCCCCTGCATCTGTTCTTTAATTGAAGGCCACTGGACTGTTTTACCCACTTGCAATCACAGTCTTTGGGTACTAAATGGGGACTAGGAGTCCACTGGTCCAGCCCAGCTCTCTATTTTTAGAGATGGGTTACTGAGGTTTTAAGAATGCCCCAAATAGAGTCAATACATAGCCATGAACCTTATGAGTAAAAATCATATGTATTTATTCCTGTCCCTAAAAAGAAGCCAATGAAATAAAAAAGAAGTGTATTTTAGCTGGCCGCTTAGGGTAATAAGCAGCAGTTGTATGGTTTGAGCTCAAAAATAAACTATAAATATTTACAACTTAGTCCTTCAAAAACTGGAGTGTCATACAATAAAGTGCCTCTTTGCAAGCAGGATTTTTTTCCCCCTGGTTTGAGAAGAGGGAGACAGCAAGACACAATGGACTGTGACTGAGACATGACCTCTAGCAATCTGAGTTTGAATTCCAACTCCACTGTTTGTTAGCTGTATAACCTTGGACAAGTCACTTACCCTCTCTGCGAATCAGTTTCTTTATCTGCAAAATGGGAATAAAAATACCATTGGCCTGTTGGGGCCATTTAAAGAGCAATGAAGATAACGTTTGTCAACGCACTACGTAAGACAACAATAAATCATTTGCATAAAAATAAATTTCAAAGCTATGGACATACATATGAAGAAAAGAAAAGGCAGGTAAAAAGGAAACACACACACACACACACACACACACTTTAATTTGAGGCAGGGAGCCCTGAATCTTTTGAGCAAGCTAACTAGGTAACAAAGCTTGTAATGGCACACAGACACCTGGGTAT